CGGATTTATTCAAACTTTACAAGGAAGCAGTCTTAAAAAAAATAAAAAAATAAAAAAACTAGCAGTTCTACCATAAGAGCCGACATTATCTTAATAATGCAAGGCACTCAGATGACGCTGTGTTGAAGCAGAAACAGAAAGAAAACTACATGAACTCCCGGTGAAAGTAGCAAAGGAAAGCGAGAAGAAAGGACTATACCGGGTGTAACAGCAAAACTGTCCAAATCGTGTAACAGCAAAATTGTCTAATTGTTAGATTAAAATTTGAAGCGTTGTATCTTAGAAATGATTAAAGATATATTACTGGAATTCTCCGAGGATTTTAGAATACTATTTGACTCTACTTTGAGCAATACGGATGTATAATTATTCTCCAAGCTTAACAGAAGAATCGTGATGAAATCGATGATAAATGAAAATGACATGTTCATCATTAATTAATCATAGCTAAGGATTGAAAAGTTCACGAAGGACTAAAATAAAGTTCAAATATATATATATATATATATATATATATATATATATATATATATATATATATATATTCCAGGATCATTTTTATTTTCCAACTTATTCAAGATGATCTTCGTCCTCTCTGACCTAGCTTTCTGTCCTGGAGTAACAAGGTGTTTCACAGGTTTCACGTATAATTTCATTTTCAAGTCTTTTTGTCACTGCTTTTTGGACTGTCATACCTGAAACTTCTTTCTCACGTGCCAAACGTCTAATGAATTAACTTGGATCTTTTCTAATTGATCGCTTTAGATCTAAGTTGAAACGATCATCATCTGGTTGTGACATCCTGACCCAGTTTTCCTCTCTACACTTACCTCTTGTTTAAATTTATTCACCGTTCTCTTGATGGTTCTTGAATGGGCTTTGAAGATGGAAGCCAGAGTATGAATGATTGTTACCATTACTTTTTTCCTCTCACCATTGTTCACATGGGAAGACAGTGGAGCTGACACAAAACGATTTTAACCTGTTCTCTTTCTAGCTGAATAACTCAAAGGTTTTTTCAGTTCTTCTTACGACATATGGTATCAAAATGGTTAAACGTCTTATCTGAAAACCTAAAAAAAAAAAGAATTACAATTAGTTTAGTGTTTTTTTTTTTGTTTTTTTTTTAGATATTAAATATTTTGTGGGTTGGACAATTATGTTGTTACATGATTCGGACAATTTTGCTGTTACACCTGGTACATCAATTGAAAAGAAAACAGAATGTATGGTTGTTAGCAATAAGGGAGGGTCTTCTTTACGCATGTTCGTCAGTTAGGTTACTCGTCTTTTCTTTCTACCTCTCTTGCCTCCAATATGTGCAATGAGTGTCAAAGTCTCCAAGTCGTCTTTTTTCATTATGAGTCAACAGACTCTTTTTTTATTATTCTTAGTATAAGCGTTCTCTTTGCTTCCATTTTTCTTAAAACTTCTCTTTCCATAGCATCCTCAGCATCACATCTCTGTCATTTGAAGCCTTTTCTTCATCTCTGAGGAAAATGCCTTAGACTCAATGCCATATAAAAGGATTGGTATTAAATAGCAGCACAGCACTCTTTTCCCTGCCGCTAAAGATATTTTCTTATCTCTTTATACTTTGCTTCGGTTCGGGAAGACATTTTTTGGCTATTTTCATGGGCATGTCGCTTTTTTGATTTTATTATTTTTTGTAGATCTAATTTTCCTCGAAACATCCTTTTCTTTCCTGTTTTTAACGAAATTATCCCGTCTGTTAATACTTTGCTTAGTTTCTGAAAATCATATTTCGCTTTCTCCATCCGCCATCGATTTTTGCGCCACACTTTCCTTTATCTGTCACTACACTGGCAGTTGAACCGCCGAGGAATAGAATAAATTAGATTTATATCTGTGGCTTTTTTCCATGCAGACCATGAAGCTTTTTCACCGAATGCCAAAATGGAAACAAAAACGATACTTATACTTAACGTAGGGAAGAGACAATTGAAATTCCAAGAGCAAGTAATGAGGAAAGAGGGTTAGGAAATTTTGACTCTCACGGGAAAGATTGACAGGAAGAGAGACAGAGGGAATCAGCGCATAACCTACCTGATTAGCTTGAAGATAGATAGATAGATAGATAGATAGATAGATAGATAGATAGATAGATAGATAGATAATGTTCAGATTGTGATAGATAGATAGATAGATAGAAAGATAGATAGATAATGTTCAGATTGTGATAGATAGATAGATAGAAAGATAGATAGATAATGTTCAGATTGAGATAGATAGATAGATAATGTACAGATTGTGATAGATAGATAGATAGATAGATAGATAGTGTTCAGATTGCGATAGATAGATAGATAGATAGAAAGATATATAGATAATGTACAGATTGTGATAGATAGATAGATAGATAGATAGTGTTCAGATTGCGATAGATAGATAGATAGATAGATAGAAAGATAGATAGATAATGTTCAGATTGTGATAGATAGATAGATAGATAGATAGATAGATAGATAATGTTCAGATTGTGATAGATAGATAGATAGATAGATAGATAGATAGATAGATAGATAGATAGATAGATAGATGGCAGAACAGAGATTAGGAGAGATCGCGGATAAAAGAAAGAGTTAGAAAGAATAGGGAATAGTAGGAATTCACTAAAAGAAAGAAAGGACAGGAAATTGTCGCCAAAGTTTTCAAGAGACGCGTCCCATGGAGGGGGAGGAGAAGGAGGAGGGGAGGAGGAGGAGGAGAAAAAGAAAAACAAGAAGAAGAAGAAGAAGAAGAAGAAGAAGATACTTAAATAATTCCCAACACGGTACCTTCGAAAGCCTATGTTATTTCTGTCTTCACTGTATGGAATTATTGGAAAGAATTAACGTTTTTAACATCTCTTTTTAATTAACCATACTCGCGAGATATTAAAAGCAAATCATCGAAACTTAGTTACATCGTTATTAATACTACTACTAATGTTTTGCGAGTCATACTGTCCGCCATCTTCGTTAATTAACGCTTTTTCAAGTTTGTAGCTATCCATTTCCGGTTGTTGTTACGACCATCGTATAATAAACTGCTTCATTTTATCGCCATAGCATCCTAAATGCTGGTTTCTCTTCAATCTTCTCCTGAAATCGACCAAATTAAAAAAAAATATATATATAAAATGCTGATAGGCGAAGTAAAAATATGGCTTCTTGAGATATGACAGCGAAATACGGCAGTAACTTTAACTGATGTCAAATAAAATCACGTAATTCCCTCGCGTGACATGTCAGCCAACGCGAGATTTGGGTCTTACCAACGAACTGTTTCTCTTCCTTCCCAACGCACATTTAGTGTTTATTGCTTTTACGAAATTAAATTAACACATCGTGTATAGTTTCTTCCAGAATGAAATGTCAGCCATTTTAACCGAATGTTAATCTTTTTTGTTCTCTGATATTTTTCTTCAGTTTCATAACTGGAATTGATTAATTAAGACGGGATCTGTGCATTGGCATATTTATTTAGAAGGTAACGAGCCTTAGAAAGAGAACTCAAGAAAGAATTCCATGTTTATTAATATTTATAACCCTATTAAAATATGGACCAGCGGATGCGACTTACATTCAAATTTTACACATATAGCTGCTTCTAGTTGCTGAAACGCATTACCCATCGTCTAACTGTGATCCTATCCGCTCTTTCCTTTCCGTATTCAACAAGCGTCAACACCTCGATTTCGTACGCACTTTTATGTCAGACCTGCCACTCAAACACGCACACACTATCTATCTCTCTCTCTCTCTCTCTCTCTCTCTCTCTCTCTCTCTCACTATATATATATATATATATATAAGATGGAGCCAGGCAAACATACCTAGGTTTCGCCTAAACGGATCGTCAGTTTAGGTGATACCTAGGTAGGTTGCCTGGCTTATAGGATATATTAGGTTTGCTGTGCTTCGTGTATTGAGCACTTTACGTAGTTACCTTTTACTCGCGTTGGAGTTTTTTTTTCTCTGGACTTTGAGCTTGAACTCTGGACGATTGTTTTCGCCTTTAGTTTAATGTTCTTGGTTCTTTCTTTTTTTATTCCTCATTTTCCTTGGATACCGATTTGTTCTACTACAAATCGAACTATCGAAGGTAACAATATATATATATATATATATATATATATATATATATATATATATATATATATATATAGAGAGAGAGAGAGAGAGAGAGAGAGATTGGGTTTATTTGGAAAGCGTTTTTGATTAAAATCAAAGTGGTTATTTTTTTTTTTAAACTTTTTTATTTAATTTTTCCATAAAATTAAATTCTTCTGATTTCTTTGGGGAAAAAAATAACATAAATTATTCAATGTCTTATGCGCACTTTCGAGTTTCATGCCATTATGAAAAACATTTTTTATCTGAATAGCGGCGGCTATTCGACGAGCTATAGAGTCTACGAAATGCGAGGGAAATTGTGATTCTGTATTTAGTAGATACGTAACAGGGCTCTTTATAAATGAGTTGACATTGTTATGTGTGGTAGCAGAGAATGTAGTGATATGCACTGATATGTCTCATATATGCTCAACGGGCGTTTAAATCTGGCGGGCACTTGGAAGTTTGCCGTTGCCTAAATCTTGGTTAAAACCAGAATTTAATTTTTGGGTTCCGTTATAATATGTAAATTAATGTTCGTAAAGTAATGATAGAAAAAATAATAATTTTACACAACATATTTTAACTTGGGGTGAAAAACTTAAAAAACATATGTGTGTGTGCCTGTGCTAAAAATAAAATAACATTTTCACTGATAATGTTCCGCATTAGAATTTCGCGGAGATTATTTCAACTCATCGTTTTTTTATATATATATATATATATATATATATATATATATATATATATTGTTCCCTAAAGATTGCATGTGACCTCCGCGAAAATCTAAGTACAAGATAAGTGAACATTTAATTTGGTGTTTGCTTCTGCTAATCTTCTATCGCCTGTTATCAGACACTATAATTACAAATACCTATTACCTTAAAAAGGATGGCAGACTGAGGCGTTGTTATATTTTTTCTGGACAAAGCCTGTCTTAGATAGATAGATAGATAGATAGATAGATAGATAGATAGATAGATAGATAGATAGATATGAACAGACTGAGATAGATAGATATGAACAGACTGAGATAGATAGATAGATAGATAGATAGATAGATAGATAGATAGATATGAACAGACTGAGATAGATATGAACAGACTGAGATAGATAGATAGATAGATAGATAGATAGATAGATAGATAGATAGATAGATAGATAGATATGAACATAGATAGATAGATATGAACATATTGATAGATAGATAGATGAATAGATAGATAGATAGATAGATAGTATATGTGATGGATAGATAGATAGATAGATAGAAATGAACACACTGAGATAGATAGATAGATAGATAGATAGATGGATAGATAGATAGATAGATAGATGTGAACAGACTGAGATAGATAGATAGATAGATAGATATGAACAGACTGAGATAGATAGATAGATAGATAGATAGATGGATGATAGATAGATATGAACAGAGATAGATAGATATGAACATATTGCGATAGATAGATAGATAGATAGATGATGGATGGTATATGTTATAGATAGATAGATAGATAGATGATAGATAGATGGATGAAATGAACACACTGAGATAGATAGATAGATAGATAGATGGATGATAGATAGATAGATGAATAGTGAACAGACTGGGATAGATATGAACATATTGCGGTAGATAGATAGATAGATGGATAGATAGATGGATGGATGGATGGATATGAAAAGGCTGAGATAGATACGAACAGACTGGGATGGATGGATAGATAGATGGATGGATAGATAGATAGATAGATATGAACAGACTGAGATAGATAGATAGATAGATGATAGATGGATAGATAGATAGATGATATGAACAGAGATAGATAGATAAGAACATGTTGCGATGGATGGATGGATAGATGGATGATGGATGGATAGATAGATGGATAGATAGAAATGAACACACTGGATAGATGGATGGATAGATAGATAGATAGATAGATAGATAGATGGATGGATGGATGGTGTGAACAGACTGAGATAGATAGATAGATGGATATGAACAGACTGAGATAGATATGAACATATTGCGGTAGATAGATGGATAGATAGATAGATAGATAGATGGAGATGAATGTGAAAAGGCTGAGATAGATACAGACAGACTGAGATAGATAGATAGATGGATGGATGGATGGATGGATAGATAAAAAGGCTGGATAGATAGATAGATAGATAGATATGGATAACAGACTGAGATAGATAGATAGATAGATAGATAGATAGATAGATAGATGAGATAGATGATAGATAGATAGATAGATAGATGATGAACAGAGATAGATAGATAAGAACATATTGCGATAGATAGATAGATAGATAGATAGAAATGAACACACTGAGATAGATAGATAGATATGAACAGACTGAGATAGATATGAACATATTGCGGTAGATAGATAGATAGATAGATAGAAATGAACACACTGAGATAGATAGATAGATATGAACAGACTGAGATAGATATGAACATATTGCGGTAGATAGATAGCTAGATAGATAGCTAGATAGATAGATAGATAGATAGATAGATAGATAGATAGATAGTGTTTTAACCTAGACAAGGTTACTGAATGAGGAATAATCTAAACGGAGGTTGGAAATGAAAATGGTACTCTTTATAATATCAACAAAATACAATACTCGCCAGCGCCGTGAAGTAGGTAAACCACTGCTAGTGGTGGACTACTTCGATAGCGTATTGGTATTTATTGTATATAAAAATACAATTAAGGCACAAGGCCGAAAAAAGGGGAGGGTTTGAGGCTGGTCTTCACTAACTATCCTATACCTAGCTAATCCGATTCACGACCCATTCACTCATTACAATTTGCACATTCACCACAAAAATTCGTCCGTCACCAATCAATCCTCCATGCACCATAATACCACATCCTCTGAAGGGGGACCTACAAAACGTATCCCATGCCATAAAAATTTAATGATAATAAATTATTATATATAAAATTCTAAAGATGAAAAATGAGTGGGAGGGGAGATGAACCCAATAATAAACTAAACATGAACACAAAGTAAACTAAACATAACTGACGTTAGTAGGGCCCGACCAACGCTCAAGAAAAGAGAGGCCGCTGTATTCTACCCATTGGATACAATCAAGAGGTTCCCTCGCTAAGGGAGTGGGAAAGGAGACAATTATGCGGACATGGGAAAGAAAAAAGCTGACCCAGTCGAGATAAAAAAGGGGCCAAAAACAAACCAGGGAGGTTGTGAATCTCGAGTTGGATCATAACCAAAGAGGCAGCCAGGAACAGGCCAGGAACAACATTTACTCACATTAACTAGGTACATAAAAGCTTGTCTAACCGAACCAAGGGAAGGGCTCCACAGGAAACCACCCCGATGTGACGTAGGTTGACCTAAAAGAGAAAACCAAGGCTAGCCCAGTTCAAACGAATCAAGCTCGCCTCTTTCACCAACCCTTCGCTAAAGACTGTCGAATGCAAGCATTTTCTATCAGTTCTAATCTTCATATTGAGCTGAAGATTAGACCTGATAGAATATTTGGCAGCATATTACCCCCACTTACAATAGTGTCCAATGTATTTATGAGGATTGGGACATACCCATTAGGGTTCATAGGTACAGTATAAAAATAGATAGATATGAACAGATAGATAGATAGATAGATAGATAGATAGATAGATAGATAGATAGTAATATATTGCTATAGATAGATAAATAGATATTCTGTCTGATAATCAAGATTTTGAGGTTTCTAAATAATAACATTTTTAGAATAAGCGTGAATTTAGCTTCGAACCAGATAGTTATACAGCTAGATATCTAGCTAGATAGATCGATAGATAAAAACTTTGTTTTATACATGCGGTTAGTTATCTTTAATATTTAAGTTTAATTCTCTCTTACGTCATATCACCCGAAAGCCATAATAATAAACCAATAATAATGACGTCATATTAATAAACCAATCAGCGGTTAACTTAAGAGACGGCAAAAAATTAAGCGTGATTGTTCCCACGCCTAGATCTTCACAAGCTAAACTCCGTTTATGAATCTAGTGATGGGTCGTAACTGCTGACACGAATCGCCTCACGGCATCAAGTCAACGACCTAACTGATTTAAGAAAGCCGGTCTGTTTACTTAATTATTTATTTACATATCTAAATATTTATAGAAAGATTTGCTGATGTATATTTTTAGGATTTCCTTTAGTAATTAATTTAGTTATGAAATTTAGTATTACAAATGTTGGTCGAACAGCCAAACACATGATTTCTGTTACATCATTGCTTGCACTATATCTACATCCATTCCGCAGTTGTTTCCTATAGTGTTAGGAAGCGTTCCCAATATACCAAGCAATATTGAATGTAGATATAGAATGGATTGATTGAAACATTGTGGTAACGACAAAAGCAATACAAAGAATGAGTTCAATAGTCTGAAGAACTCTTGGAATGATAATGACTCTTCTCAAAATGATAGAAGGTAGACATAGAATGGATTGACTGAAACATTGTGGAATACAAAAGAATGAGTTCAATCGTCTGAAGAACTCTTGGAATGATAATGACTCTTCTCAAAATGATAGAAGGTAGACATAGAATGGATTGACTGAAACATTGTGGTAACAACAAAAAGCAATACAAAGAATGAGTTCAATAGTCTGAAGAACTCTTGGAATGATAATGACTTTTCTCAAAATGATAGAAGGTAGAGATAGAATGGATTGACTGAAACATTGTGGTAACAACAAAAGCAATACAAAGAATGAGTTCAATTCTGAAGAACTCTTGGAATGATAATGACTCTTCTCAAAAAATGATAGAAGGTGGGCATAGAATGGATTGACAAACATTGTGATAACAACAAAAGAATGAGTTCAATAGTCTGAAGAACTCTTGGAATGATAATAACTCTTCTCAAAATGATAGAAGGTAGACATAGAATGGATTGACTGAAACATTGTGATAACAACAAAAGCAACACAAAGAATGAGTTCAATAGTCTGAAGAACTCTTGAAATGATAATGACTCTTCTCAAAATGATAGAAGGTAGATATAGAATGGATTGACTGAAACATTGTGGTAACAACAAAAGCAACACAAAGAATGAGTTCAATAGTCTGAAGAACTCTTGGAATGATAATGACTCTTCTCAAAATGATAGAAGGTAGACATAGAATGGATTGACTGAAACATTGTGGTAACAACAAAAGAAACACAAAGAATGGGTTCAATAGTCTGAAGAACTCTTGGAATGATAATGACCCTTCTGAAAATGATAGAAGGTAGACATAGAATGGAGTGACTGAAACATCGTGGTAACAACAAAAGTAATACTAAGTGTTGAAACTTGACTAATGCATGGAATAATAATACAACACAAAATGTACTTAGAACAAAATGTATTGAAACAAGACAGTGTAAAAATATTTACATATAGTCTTTTGTATATTCTTGGGAAGACAGTTCCTGGAGAATGGGTTGACTTAGTCGCAGTCGGGCAGAGTCACTGGATTGAATCTCTTGATTACTTCCCTCGTCTTCCCGGTACCAACCATATTTATATGGTCGGTACTCCACTATGCAAAATAGGTGGATCCTACCACAACACTAAGAATGAGTTCTATAGTCTGAAGAACTCTTGGAATGATAATGACTCTTCTCAAAATGATAGAAGCTAGATATAGGATTGACTGAAAACATTTGGTAACAACAGTTACAAAGAATGAGTTCAATAGTCTTGGAACTCTTGGAATGAAAATGATAAGATATAGAATGGATTGATTAAACATTGTTGTAACTTGAGTTCTCAAAATGATAGAAGCTAGATATATAATGGATTGACTGAAACATTGTGGTAACAACAAAAGCAACACAAAAGAATGAGTTCAATAGTCTGAAGAACTCTTGAAATGATAATGACTCTTCTCAAAATGATAGAAGGTAGATATAGAATGGATTGATTGAAACATTGTTGTAACAACAAAAAGCAAAGAATGAGTTCAATAGTCTGAAGAACTCTTGGAATGATAATGACTCTTCTCAAAATGATAGAAGGTAACATAGAATGGATTGAAAACATTGTGGTAACAACAAAAAGAAACACAAAGAATGGGTTCAATAGTCTGAAGAACTCTTGGAATGATAATGACTCTTCTCATAATGATAGAGGGTAGATATAGAATGGATTGATTGAAACATTGTTGTAACAACAAAAGAAATACAAAGAATGAGTTCAATAGTCTGAAGAACTCTTGAAATGATAATGACTCTTCTCAAAATTATAGAAGGTAGATATAGAATGGATTGACTGAAACATTGTTGTAACAACAAAAGCAATACAAAGAATGAGTTCAATAGTCTGAAGAACTCTTGGAATGATAATGACTCTTCTTATAATGATAGAGGGTAGATATAGAATAGATTGATTGAAACATTGTTGTAACAACAAAAGAAATACAAAGAATGAGTTCAATAGTCTGAAGAACTCTTGAAATGATAATGACTCTTCTCAAAATTATAGAAGGTAGACATAGAATGGACTGACTGAAACATTGTTGTAACAACAAAAGAAATACAAAGAATGAGTTCAATAGTCTGAAGAACTCTTGGAATGATAATGAGTCGTAATAATCTGTAATTTATCATCATTTTTTACATGATGGGGGCGAACCGTTGCATTAATTATGGTCGCGGAAGTGCTTTCTATTTCATCTAATGGCCTACAAAACCAAAAATATTTTGTTACACATTAATAATAATAATAATAATTTAAATCAATGTGCGATGTTATGAAGTTAGACAATTATAATTTACCTGCCCCTTCTTATTTATTCCCAGAATCTTGTACATTTTGAAATGATTTCTTTTCCATATTTGGAAGGTTCTTCTTCGAGTCCACTGAAGTTTTCACTTTCGATCTGATTACATGTTTTTATTGTGCATATATGTTATCTGTCCATACACAGATCCACATTAATGAAATTTTAAACTACTATACGCATTCCAACGTCATAAAAAGAATTAAGAAAAGGATGCTGGGAATGTTAGCTCCATATGCCACCAAACAACTGTACGAACAATCCTGATCAGTTGATTTGCAGTCTCTTGAAGTGGCAGTTTGAATCTTGTAGAGAGCACGTAAAAGAAACAATTAAACACAAAGGAACAACAACAACAATAATGATAATAAGTAGCAATACCCGTAAAATTTGCGAGTTCTACGATTATAAAATATCCGTGGAAATGCTCTAATTGCGTCGTTAAATATTTGAGCTTAACAGCGTTAAACTTGCAATAACAATTTTTTATAACATAATACCTATTCTATTGTAGATAATAAGTAGTAGTAGCTGTGGCCAGTTGGGCTCAGTGGTGTTGAGTGAGTCTGTCGGACATTGAAGTATCAACCATCACAACTAGATTGCTGCGTCATTAACTCTTATTTCAAGTTCCTAACGTTTTGTACGTCGAACCTAATTTAGGACGACTTATTGAAATACAAGCCTCCACTGTGAAAACTACTCTACAACACAATTATAAATAGGAATGCAGTTCATTATTTAAAGAAGTAAGAGTGTACAAATGAAAAGTTTTAAAATTGACAAGATTTTTCTATTTCACCGAAGCAGACGTTCAACACATGGAAGCATTATCGCCTCCACTATCTACCTTTATTTTACTCACTGAAAGCAAACAGCGTCTCTGATATGTCTTTTCCGTTTGTTCCTCGCGATTAAAACGGAATAGTTTATAATTTATGAGAGCATGACGCACGTGACAACTAATTAACTAAAGGACGAAATAATAATAATAATAATAATAATAATAATAAGCTAATCTCACAGACATCGTGATGAAAGACCACAAAAACAGAATGTGCTTTCTTATCGACATGCAGATTGTAATGTATCTTTGAAGATCTTCAAAAAACAATCAAAATACAAGGATCTTGAAATGGAAATCTCAAAAACGTGGCACATGAGGACATCAATAATTCTAGTTGTAGTTGGAATCCTCGGATTGATTTGAAAAGATTTCCAAAGACTCATAAAAGAGATCCTTGATAGCCCAAGCCTTAAAGAAATACCCATTAAAAAAAATGTACTCACAAGTACAGCCCAAACCTTACGAAGGGTTTTATCGATGTAAAATATGTGATTTTTTTCAAAACTGCTTAGTGGAGAAATATCATGATGCCATTTCTGACCTTAGGTCGCTGGTCGGAAAGAAATGAGTTTACACCAGAAACAAAAGGAAATAGAACAATAATAATAATAATAATAAAATCGAAAAGAAAAGATCAGAATCTTAAACAGCGGGGAAAGTAATGGGAAATCACTTCATTTTGATTTCTCAAGAAGGCATCGTAATTTATTGGCAATAAAATAAAGGAATCTGAGAAAAGCTATGTACGTAAGGGATATGACATTTATAAGAAAAATAAATGCATTTCTAATTCCTTATTTTCATCAATGTTTTTCCTGATGTCATCAGTTCCCAACTCCCATATCTATGCTGATGACATAACTATTTTATTCTGTTTTAACCTGTCTGATAGCTTTGATAAGCTTCAAATTGAAGAAATACAAAAAATTGTACTCACAAGTACAGCTTACATCTTACGAAAAGCTTTATATATATAAAAATGTGTGTGAGCCTGGGTATTTTGTTTTTACTAAAACGGTCAAAAGGAG